TAATATATATGGCATATTTTCTTAATCCAACGATATATAAACCTATGGTTAAACCCGAAAGTAAATGAATTATATTCTTATAACAATCACGTAACGGCACATGTACCCGACGGTTATACGTACGGACAATGAGTTTCTCTTTAAATCAGATATTTTATAAGCCTGGCAAAGACTTATGAGAGTCGGAACGTCGGTTATAATCATTTAATTGAAATAAAATTTAACATTTATCCTGTGTTTTTATACTACGACTGCAGGTAGTTGCATACAGACGTTAACAACATCCCCTAAAATAAGTAGCCAATTAAAGTTTGCACACAATTCCATTGTCGTGACATATGGATAAGATGTATACTTTTTTTGTTCCACCCTGATTTTCAAATTTTGTTAATTAAGAAGATCACTTGCTTGGTTAGATTTTAAAGTTTTATGCGTCCTTTGTCATTTAAAGACTCCCATTATTCGGTCTTTTCCCTAAGCTCTGAATATTTATGATCCCGATCGACCGTAAAGTTTCAGACTGAGTGCTAATTTACACTTGTCTTACTCTAGCCGTGCATCTTAAAGTGATACAGTCGTTGTAACTTATATACTTTATTTTATTTTTTTTGGCATTTTCAACCGATAGAAATCTTAAAGCAATAACATCTTGTCAGCATCAATTATCACAAGGTTAGTTGTCTTGTTCAATGTCAGAAATGCTTTGATAAAATCAGGTTTTTATAACATTCTGTCAGATATTGCAGATAAAATCTCAGCACTATGGTCTATTTAACCGTATAAGAGTAATTCAGTACATTTCGCATTAATAGCATGAACGTAGCTTGTAATATAATTCTGTACATGATAAGATTGAACGATAGGTATTCGATTGTGACGTTAACAAGAACAATGAAAGCTTGACATCCGATGAGGTTAAACTATGTTGATTTCGTTAAACGACCCGATCGATAGCTTAGAAAAGTATTAATAAGTGAACTAAGTTTATATTGTGCTTACAGGTGTGATGGTTAAAAGCCTAAAAAGATATTTCTATAATTGCAAGAATACCTTTGGTGTCTAAGAAAGTCAGCCAAATAAAAAGAGATGTTTATTCTTATACAAAAATGAGACATATCGGTTAAGGAAATCGTATTATTCCTCAGATGCGAAATATGGGAGTGTAAACATTAAAGATAACTCTACTTCATTTTACTTTATGTAATTATCAAATTATTCATAAATAATTTTACTGCTATTTTCTACTGCCAACATAAGATTTAATTACTCGGTAAAATATTTTCTTTTAGATGTAATTATTGTATGAAAGCGTGTACGATAAAAGTAATCACATTCAGGACCGACCATCGTTCTTATAATTTGCTTTGTTTCTAACGTTGGTATATTAAATGAATATTGGCCCGAGTCAATATGACATTAAGTCGGTGAATATCATATCACATCGTATTTAATGGATGTAAACAGTCAATAATCGTATAATGTAAAGAGATTGCTTTACTAAGCTGAATTAAGATGAACATATAATAAATAACAAATGTTCTGTTCTTTTAACCATTTAGACTATAACCATTTGTGCACAATTAAATGAAATGAGCCGCGTCATGACAAAACCAACATAATGGGTTTGCGACAAGCATGGATCCAGACCAGCCTGCGCATCCGCGCAGTCTGATCAGGATCCATGCTGTTCGCTTACAAACACTATTACAAGTAGAGAAACTGATAGCGAACAGCATGGATCCTGATCAGACTGCGCGGAAAAAGAAATCTGGAATCCTCGAAGCAATAATTACAACAAAATAACATGAAAATTGCAGACACGATTTGATTGTGTCTGTACATGAACCCTTAGTAAGCTTTACCTAAGACCGAAAGCCGTAACGAATCCTAAAACATGTTGTGATTGATGTGCAATTATGTTCAATAAATAGAAAACAAGAAACTGAGCTGATAGGTACTTAAAATCCTCTTGCATAAATAAAACTGGAAAGTCGCCATATGCCGATTACAGTGTCGGTAGAACGTAAATTCCCAAACAAACCATTTTGGTTTGTTTGTTTGGTTTAACGGCGCATTAACATTATTTAGGTCATATGACGACGGAACAGGAAATATTATTTTTGCTAACCTTGGTTGTTACAAACTTAAAGCATCACCAAACGTCAAATGAACACCTTTTTGAGCTAGGAAATGCATAATCTCCGGTTCTTCAAACCCATTTAGTCGCCTCTTACGATCAAGCGCGGATAAACAGAAGCTGCAATTGTGATGACTCAACTCTTAGAGGAAATCCCTCAGCCACAAGGGGTGGATTATTTGGATTATGTTGGTTTTGATGATCCAATTACATTCATTTTTGTGATTCTTTTACAAAGTCATTATTCAAGCAATATCAATATTCAATATATAAAGCCAGTTGATATCTCCTTTTTGTGAAATAGAAATTTAGATTTGCTTTATTGTAGTCCTCTTTTATCAAATGATAAGTAGGGTTAATGGGTTAATATTCTTTCCTCAACAATTATAATACCGTGCTATTGAAGTGTATTTCTAGATAATGAAAAGAAAAACGCTGAAATGAGCATTTTATTTGCTGACAATGATAAATTTCAAATTAATTTATCTTTATATTTGTTTAGTGAAAGACAGAAGATTAATGGGGATATTAGAAAAGACTTAAGACAAAGCAGGTTATAGTTTATTTATAAGTTAATTAAATATCTGACAATTCTGTTTAGTTTTCTGTTTCATCATAATTTGCATTATGATGATTAGATAAACGCAAACTCCAGTTTGTTATATAAAGTACCTTTTTTGTTTAGTGTATATTGAATTTACATGGGAAGCACATTAAAAAGGACTTCCTTGCTTTGAATAATGTTAGAATATACAAATCAATAAGAAGTCAGAAGCAGAAGAACATAAATAGCTATTATTTACTTTACCAAACAATAAGTCGTATTTTACTGAAACTGAGATTTTCCTAGATCATGATTTTTATGCTCCCCGAAGGGTGAGCATATAGTCTCCGCTTTGTCCGTCCGTCCGCTATTCTTCTCCGAGACTTTGAAACCACAAGAGGTATCAACATGAAACTTTGTAGGTAGATAGATCTTATTGAATAAGTGTGCAGTGCACAAGAACCGTTACTCTGCCTTGCCTTATTTTGGAGTTATTTCCTTTGTTCATTTTGACACATTGAACTTTGTCCGGGACATTACTCTAAAACTATAAGAGATAACAACATGAAACTTTGTAGGTACATAGGTCTCATTTGGTAAAAGTGCAGTGATGGAGAACCATTACACTGCCTTGCCTTATTTTTGAGTTATTGCCCTTTGTTCATTCTTACACGATGAAATTTGTCCGAGATAAAACTCTACAACTATAAGAGATATCAACATGAAACTTTATAGTTTTATAGATCTTATTAGGTAGATGTGCTGTGCTAAAGAACCATAACTCTGCCTTGCCTAATTTTAGAGTTATTGCCCTTTGTTTATTTTTATACTTTCCTGTGTCCAAAACCTTCTCTGGGAGCATCAACCGGTTCAACCGGTTCTTGTTTTCTTTCTTCTTTATGGAATGAAATTGCTAAATGATGATCCAAAACTAGATGAAATGAAATGTGTGTGCGTTTTCTGCATCATTACATATGTATATTGAGATTTTAAAAGTTTAAAGTCAAAATATGCCCCGGAAATGCTTTTACTTTTAATTATCAAAAGTTTTTTAATTTTTGGTGTTCTGCAAAAGTTTCAAAAACGTTACTCATTGGCCAATTACTTGAACCATATATTGATTCTACTACTTTTTGATACTTACAGTTATAAGAAAGTTTAGTGTTGTGTATGGTAGTCAAAATACTACTCTGTTTACATTTTGCTACTTTTATGGCAAATTATTTCACAATCAGGGCTACTTTTTTCAGGTGACAATTATCTAAAACACTCCGAAAAAATTATTTTAACATTAAAAAACTCATATTTTCTAAAGAAGGTAAAAAAGGGAATTCGTTCCTGAGGCATAATGTGCCTTAAAATGATAAAGCTTACCTGGACGTAATTAACTTCAGTATCACTAAATTCCTAAAGATTCAGTTTAAATTATTCTATTGATATTTTAATTTTTCTCTGTACTTTCTCCAGGAACAACCAATCGGATTTTATCATAACTATAAACAACAGTTTTACTGCATTTGAAATGCTGTAGTTTTTCAGCTTTGTTTGAATCTTTACTTCCTCATACATAATATGCATGTTTTATTTTGTGTATGCATATATTTATAGTGCTCACCTATTGTTTTGTAAGAAAGGTTTTTGAAGTTGCTTTCTGTGCTGCTGGTTTCGATCATGAAAGATGTAATGAAAAAAGGTTTTACAGTACATATTAAAACAATTCTTATAACACTATCAACTGTTAATCTATATGAGAATTAAACGTACGAAATTTTTGAGCATTTTCAGGCAAATGACACCAATCGTCGGTTTGGGGGTGCGTGTAATGATGTCGCACTCTTTTTTGATATTTTTTTAAAATTTTGTGATGTTTAAAACTACTTTAAGAATCAACTGTCTGTTAATATGTAGTAAATTGACATATATTCAAATAATTTTTAATACAAGCCTTGGGTGTATTTTGACAGTTACAGTTATTTCAGGACGTTTTAATGGGATGGCGAATATTTGTCATATTATTAGTCTTAAGTACATATATTGTGCAAAAGGAGATCGATGCCATTCATTAATCCACAACCACTGTCTTTCATCTACATAAAACAGCTTTCTTTTTTATTTATATTTTATCAGTACGAGTAATTGTGGAATGTTCATATTATGAAATAGTGAAAACGATGAAATGTTTTTTTCAAAGGTCATTTGTATGTCTTGTATGTCGTGGAGACGTTAGAATATATAGTTCCCGTCCATGCAACCAAGCTCTCATAGTTTAAGCATAAATAAAGCTTTAGATTGACTATGAATGAATTAAATAACGAACCGCAGAATTGCACTCTTTTATTGCAATAAAAATTACCACTTTCATAATAATTGAAGAGAAACAACTAGTTGAAAGCAGACATTTGTAAACTTGACCTCAAAAAATGTTAAATCAAGTGTCTTATTGACAGATAAATAAACATGCTGCATTGAAGATATTTCGGAAATTGCTTTAAAAAGTATATGGATGTTTTTAACGTATATTCTTCAGATGATTTCAACTTATATTGCCTTAATTAAGACCACAACCAATTTTGCAGGCCAATTCTGTTGTAAAGACGTTCTTGCCCGCCGCATAACAACCTGTTTTTCGCTTGCATTCACCTCTACTATTTCTGTATGTCCAAATCGTTTTCTTAAGCACGTCTGGGCATGGACTAAACTGTGCTACATCTTGGCATTCTATAAAAAAACAAGAAACAGTAAAAGTTTTAAAAAGGTTTAAGTTTTTCGTAGGGGGAGTTCTTAATTGTCGTTTTCCGCTAGTATTTTTCTATTTTTATTAAAATAAGTATATAATAATTAAATCTTAATACTTCACATAGCTATTAATTTCAAGTTTTAAAGCTTTGTTTGATGATTTACAATTTACAATATAAGATGTATTCAGTTTGGTAGATTCAAAAGCCTTATTGTTCTTGGTACTGTTATAGAAAAATGGTAATCTAATAAAACGATTAAAACATGCATAGATTACATCGTTATATAAACATCTATATATACTAATTTAGTAAACAAAATTGAACAGGCCAATCCGAAAGCTAAAGTCCATTTGTTGTCTTTGTGCTATTTTTGATATACCTATAATGCCGAGAGAACCATAGTTTTATGTTCTAGTATAAATAATAATATTATACCACAGTTTACTACAATATGAAGAATAAATCAACAAGAAAGAGCTGCATTCAAGAAACGCATCCCCAAACACAAAACAGAAAAAAATCAAAAATAAATTCTTAAATTTTTAGCCAGACGGTTATAATAGACTTAATAAATTTAGAATGAAAATGGGTAAGCAATTACAATGTTTGACACACGACGTTGCGTGTTATTTAATATTTACATTCGGCGTATGAATATAACTTTTTAAAAGCTACCCAGCTACCTTACGGAACGTCGGAAGATATATTCATGTGTCGCTCGTGCCTGAAATAATTCACGGAGGGCCCACTTGAAGTTTGCTTTCCAAGCTGAAAAGTCGACATATGACCTTAAATGGGTTTTTGCGACATTAAACCCGACCAATAAAAACAGCCTCTCAAAATTAATAAACAAATATATTTTCATCAAATTTCTACAAGAGAAATGACTTACGCAAAATGTTTCCTAATGCACTTGCATAAGTGATGCACACTAAAGCAAAAACGAGAAGGGTTCCAGTTTTCAGCATGTTGATCATACGAATCTAAAAATAATAAAAATATTTACGACAAAAGCATGCATTTCTGGTATGCTGGCGCGTAATGTTTAACTTTTTACTCTGCTAAATTTGTGTAATTGTTTTGATTTGCATTAAATAACATTTTACTAAGTTACAAGTTCAATATTTATAACGTTATTATGAAGGACTGATTCTTAACATTTCGACGTCAAATAACATGCACGAATTAACCTCTTGATTTACCACGTAAAAGTCACGTGACTCGAAATGCGTTCCTTATTAATGATACACATAGTCTTATGTATGAGAATATGCAAGACATATAATATATTTTGTAATCCTAGCCAAAACAAAAACACTTTACGTTTTGATTATGGCAATGATGTAAAAATATATCATCAGAAATCCATTCACAAGCTTAGTTTCACAAGCTTAGAATCATAACTTATTTTATTCTCACTGTTCAAACTATAATATATTTGCCTTGTTATCCTCTATTACATATTGATTGTTGTATAGATAAATACAGAAACAAAAATGCTTGGAAAAATATTTATAAATGAATATGAAATACAAATAAATTGCATAAAAGATCAACTTACCTTTTACGACTGGTAGACAAGGTAAAAACATTTGTAAACTTTGTTATATATATAGTGATTCTAAATAGCCTTGGGAACCCAGATGTCGCTTATTAGTTTTCGTTATTATTACATTTTATTTCAGCCTATTCTCGTTAATAAAAAAATAACGAACGGTACTTCACGAGTGTCATAACCATCTGGACAATTGTGACATTTTCCTTATGGCAATAATACATTGTTTATAAATGAACAATGTTCAACTGCTTGGAGAGAGGTTTTGCCCTTTATAACACTTTATTCGATATTCATATTAAAAAAAAACACAGAAAAACTAGGTAGATATATTAAATGAAAAAGGCGTTGATAACAGTGTTAAATACTTCATATCAGATTTTTCTATTATTTTCTATTATTATTTCATTTAACAGACTCAGCAATCACTCGAGTGCATTATTTCACATTCTAACACCACATTCAAACAGATAGGGCTGTCGGGTGCAATAAAACACGGTATATGAACGGCATAAAAAGGAAAATATTTCACGTCGGTCGTGTCTCGTCAAATACCACGTCACTAAAACATATGACCTCAGAAAAAGTACTTCCACGCTCAATGTTGTATCAATTTTCTTTCTATAAACTTTAAGAACGGGCATATATATTGATTTTTTTCTAGCAGTGTAGTATAACAATGCACAATTTGTCGTCCAAATGCTTTAAAAATCACTCAGGCATTCGTAATTATATTCCTGTTTATTTGAAATCGAACCGTGCATTATTCTGCAATAATGTACTCAAAATTGAAATATACTGAACCAAAAAAGAAACTTTCGCAAAGTATGTGCCAGTTGTTCAAGGCTACCACTTAGATGTACACACTGATATACATGTAGTAGCTTGTAAAACTTGTTTTGTTTGCAAAATGGGTCAGGTAATCCCCGTATAAAAGCCCGATATGTTTATTTAACGTAAAAATCGAGTTTCAAAAGGATTGAAAAACTGTACTAACATATCTACATTCAAACTTGGAGAAAGTTTCTTTTTTGTTTCAGTATATATTCCCTTAGTATATACAACTAAAACACCAATAGGAAAAAAAGTAATAATAACGTAAACTATAACGACATATGTGACTTTTATTAACCAAATGAAGTTATTATAATTGCTAGCCCGATCAGTGTAGTGTAACATATTTTTATTGATTAAATTTTCGTTGGCATGTTGGAATGGAAACGAACATCAACTTTGACATATATACAATGGTTGTACAGTGAATGTTGCTCTCCATTGTTGATCTTTCTTTTCATAATGATGTGAAAAAATATCAACAAGGCAAAGCCGACGTTCACAGAACGCAGCCTCCCGACACAATCTAGCCATACCAGCAGAAAACACAGAAAGCACCGAAAAAAAAGAAAAAGAGAATTGTTATTAATCACCTTTATCAATTCGGTCATGTCGCTGTTATAACAACAATATCATTTTCAAGTCTAATCTATTTGCCCTCATAATAAAAAAAGTATTCCGGCTGATTGTTATTTAATTAGGATACATCATCCTTAAGCATAACAGATGTTTATTAGTTTTAAGGCATGGCGAGTTTTGAGAAATAACTGAGTTTCGTAAGCATCAAAGGATTTTTTCGCAATATGGGGCAAACTTTTAATTATTTATTTTGTAAGTATATATTGTCCAAGGTTACATGGCATTAAAATATCATTGTTAAGCGCTTATAGGACGTTTTTGTTCCATTAAATAAAGTTTGACAAAGTACTGTGTCAAGGTAGTATTTTTAAAGTCATATATGAGTGTCAACTGTATATGTTAATATCGACAAAAAATAGTTGACCAGAAAACGTTAACTCACATATGCACTTGAATATAGTATTATATACAACAATTGCATGTTCAAACAAAAATATGCATTAATATATGGTACGACATTGCTATTGACTTGTTGATAACATATCAAAAGAGTATCTTTTATAAAATTGTGTTTGATAAGGAACATATATTTGAAGTATGAAGTTGATCCCTTTAGAAATAAAGAAGTACCAGTAAAACATAATATTTTCTAAGGAAAATTCTAAGTTCAAGGAGAGATAAATCTGAAAATATTTGTGCTAGAGTACTAGAGTTATAAAACTTGTCACATAAGACGTGGTTGATGATAAAGAACATATATTTGAAGTATGAAGTTAATCCTTTAAGAAATAAAGAAGTAACTGTAAAAAATAATATATTTTAAGGAATATTCTAAGCTCAAGAGGAGATAAATCTGAAAATATTAATGCTAGAGTTATGAACCTTGACACATCAGACATGGTTGATGATAAGGAACATATATTTGAAGGTTGAAGTTGATTCCTTAAGAAATGAAAAGGTATAATGAAATCTGAAATCTGGACGCGGACGCCGATGCCGAAGCCGGGGCGAGTAGGACAGCTCTCCATATACTTTGTATAGTCGAATTAAAAATGATACTGTATTATTCAGACTACATGTTGATATATAGTTTTCCTTTCTATATATTTAATTATATAAGGCATCTGCTTAAGTCGGCGCCATGGACTTGAGGAATATTGCACCTTTCTACTATCCAGACTTGAATCAAATTGTGTTTGCAATTTCCATTCAGTTTTGTTGTTGAAATATTAATAGTTCTATCATAGCTAATATAATTCGGAATCACAAAATTGAAGAAAGCACATTCCTGGAGCATTTCTTACGTTATTTAAATTTGTATGTAACATACATTGTTACTAAGAAAGCATTCACATTATCTTAATATTTTATTGCATATTCGGGCGTTATTTAAAAAAAATACTAAATGTTAACGTTAAACCTAGATTACTTTGATACTCAAGTTTATACTGACAGTTTCAGAAAAAAATAACATAGAATTCGTTCAATATCATACACACATTACAACTTTAGCACATAATACGGAGTTTTGATCCGCTAAGCTGACGGGATTTTTTTTCTTTCTATTGAATATGTCGATGACCTTTTCATTCTAGAAGAATGGTTTCTTTAATATTCAATTCCCTTTGTCATGTAGATATAAGATGAAGCAATTTCCTGTTCCCGTTGATTTATTACATTTTTCGAATCGTTTCCAGGCCTCGAAATAATGCCCTTTTATTAATCAAATAACCATTTTATGATGTATGCCACGTTACCGTATTGTATAAAGATTGTTTTTTGGATATTAACAATTAATCACTGTGGAAAAACTTCTCGTATGATGAATTATTGTTTCATAATTAAAGATTTATCTGGAAAAAAGTAATACGAGAGAATTGTTCATCATTCATCATTCATTTTTAAGGAGCCCCGCTGAGAAAATAATATTTGATATTCTTTCATAGATCAAGTGGGTCATTTAAAAAAGAATACATACAAAGGATGATAAGAAATGCATTCCGAGCTAAAATTTGAAATCGATTTCTTGTGAAATTTTTTACTTGAATCCAGTGAAAATTGTTAGTGTTAGAATGTTGGGTTTTTTTTTTTGTTTTTTTTTTTTTTTATGCATTATGCACTCGTCAAGTTTTTTATTTTTTTTTTTCTCATTTTTTATTTATCTATTTATTTTTTATTGTTTGTTTTTGCGAAAAGAAAATATTTCCAGTCCTATAAAACAAACATTTTTAATGAGACTATAATTTGGATATTTTAAAAAAATAGTTCTTAAATTAAAGAAAACGTTGATCTACAAGTCGTTGTCAATAATTTTATATGAACATAAAATAAATATGTTGAATAATAATGTTTTGTTTTGGAACATTTTATTATGTGCTGTATATTAATATGTTATACCGTATCATGTATCTCACACTTATTATCAACATCCATGTATTATGCTTTTGTGGGTTATTGTCACATATCATATTAAATATTAGCAACGTAACTATTTATGCATTTATAAACATTCCATTACTGACTAATTCACTTTCATCAAGGAATCTAATAAAATAGATTATAAATTTGTAGTTTTATATTTAAAATTTGAAATTTTCAAAATGAATTTTATTTGGCATGAAGAAAATAATTATGCAAAAGGTATAAGGGGCAATAACAATTATAGTCAAATAGTCCACTTTTAAATGTTTGAAAATGCTTGAAACAAGATTCCTTGTCATTTTCAGCTTAATGACTGGGTATACGTAGTCAAAACTGGATCGTTTGTTTTTTGTCTAAAACCACTAAAATATATATTTACATAGAACAACAGTTCACGAAGCATATATTTCATTAAATTTGAAATTTTGAAATGTATGAAATAAATGTAGTGTTAAGCGTATTTTGAAGATAGTGATCCTTCTAGTACAATGAATATCAGAAAAACCATGTATACATTGTAAGAATAATTTTGTTAATTAAAGTTTCCTTTAGATTATTCACGGAACGTCGAGAACGTCTTTAAAATGAATTAGAACACACTGATTTGGAAACGTCCTTC